AGAAAAGTGGCAAAATCAGTAGGATAAATGTGTTTTGAAGCAAGGAGGAGTATTTTGAGGGGAATTGGTGACAATGGGCCATGCACTCTATTTAAAAAAAAAAATTTAAGCCAAATGTGGTAGCACATACCTGTAGAAGGCAGGAGGATTGATGTAAGTTGGAGACCATCTTGGGCTGCATAGTGAGCTCAAATTTTGATCTACATAACAAGATCCTGTCTCCAAAAAACCAAAAATGTAAACACTCCCAATATTTTTCAATCACACTTCATTTAAGAGTTAAATGATTCAGATAGTTAATTAGGTTATTGAGAGTTCATCCTGATTAGTTACCTTTCAAAGGCACGGTAAACCCAGGTGGACTGTATTTGTGAGGTAAGTAGCTAGTGAGAGAAAATTTTGTGGTCACTGAATATAATTGAAATATGAATTCAATTTCAATAAAATGATGATACAGAAAAAATATAACTCCAACCTATTAGCTGTCAAATGTGCCAATTTTGTTTCCCCTGAAATTTATGAATGAATTGTAAAGTACAAAGAAGATTTAAGAGTGGGAAAGGTTTATTGAGAAAAAGGAATAGCTCCTGAAACATAGGGGTCCCAAGTGGGTTGCCACTGTGGCCCCTTGTCAGGGATAGTTTATACAGCAGAATCATAATATGGATATGACATGGATCAAACTATAATCAGCCAATCTGATTACAAGTATTGCTACTTACCCACTGATCCAATAGAGAAGCAGAGCAAATAGCATGGATATATGACTGACATTAACCTTGGCTTCTCTGTGACCCCTAAAACTGGAACATTTTGGGGAAGGGATGAGTCCAGGTGTTCTGGTCTGATCCAACCTGGTGTCTGTTGCACATCTGGACTTAATGGACTGAGTGGTACTAATTACAGAATAATCTCATATTCTGCTTATCCCTTAGCGAGGTATACAAGTGTGGCCATTGTGACTGTATCTTGCCTTCTTCAGATATACCTCCAGCCACAATTCTGATTCTTTATTTTTCTGCTGACTTCCTTGACAGCCTGGTCCCTGTCTCATTGTACATTAATTTGTATCTAATATAGCTGCCTTTAATAAGACTACTATTCTGCTATTTTCCTTCCAAAGGAAGATTCATCAAAACAAAATTATTTTTTAAAGTATACATTGATTCTTATAATAGTCACAAATCTTGACTCTTTGATAATGGATTGAAAAAGACATGTTATTGAAAGTATTGACTTAATATGTTCTACTTGAGAAACTGTAGTTGTGTTAAGGTCTAGCCTTCCTCAAGCACAGAGTTTTACAGTTATAATCCCAGTGAACCATATTTTAAAGAAAATTCCAGAGCATCTGAGATGAATACATACTTCTCAGATGAAAAAATACAAATGACAAATAAATATATGAAAAAATGTTCAATATCATTGGTCATTTGAGAAATGCAAATTAAAACAACACTGACATTCTATCATCTCACCCCAGAAAGAAGAGCATCATCAAAAAACCAATAACAAATGCTGGAGGGGCTGTGGGGAAAAAGGAGTCCTTCTCCACTGTTGATGGAAGTGCAGACTGGTATAGCCACTGTTGAAATCAATGTGGAGATTCCTCAGAAAACTAAGATCAGAGATCTCATTCAACCCAACTATTCTGCTGGGTATCTTTCCAGAACTGAAAACATCATACCACAGTGATATACATACACCCATGTTTATAGCAGCACAGTTTATAATAGCTAAATCTTAGAAACAACCCAAATGCCCATCAACCAAGGAATGCATAAAAAAGGATGTATTTTTATACAGTGGAGTACTACTTAGCTATTAAAAAGATAAATTTTAGGCTTTTTATAGAGACCATACTCATAAGTGAGGAGATCAGATTTGCATGTGTAAACATCATATTGTCTGCCTAGTGTAAGAAACTGATAGAGTAAATAAGATCCAAAAAGTACAATAGATATTGTGAAAGGAAAAGAAACTGCTCAAAAGAAAAGAACTACTATGATATGGTAAGGAGAAAAGAAAAAAGGGAAAAATACATATGTGTGTATGTGTATACACAGGATAGCTAAGATAATTGTACCACTTATCCTGTTAATTCATTGAAGGGAACTAATACATTAGTGCTTATGTTATTTGATCAATTTTGCATATCTGTATCTGATAATCTGAGCAACTATTCTGAACCATTGTTAATTTCCTATCACCTTGTTTTGAAATTCTGTATCATTTTTATTTTTTATTCTCTTTAAAATAAAATTAGAAAAACTGTTATAGTTCTATAAAATTATATTTGAAAAAAATCCTTAAAGCAAAGCAAGCATGTCTTTATTTTTTAAAATATGTTAACCATGTAACATTAAAATTTTGTTTCTCTAATCTTATTCCCCTAAGGAAACAGTTGTTTTCATTTTGGTCCGTAGTCCTAATTGTCTATTTTACCTTTTATTTATGTACATATGTATACTTAACAATCTAAACTTACTTTAATTTGGTTTGTTTGTGTAAGAAGGTATCCTAAAATTTCCTGACCTTTTAAATTCTTATTTAAAAAAGAGAAAACAATTACACACAGATTGGAGAATCATCAGTATGAATCTTAATATATAAATATATCTATGCCTTATTTATTATTTGTGTCCTCATGTTGATTTTTATATCTATGCAGTGGTTTACACATGGGTCAGACATGTATTTCTCTGATGCCCAATACACAAGCCACATGTAGCTATTTAGCATTTAGCTATGGCAAGTCCAAATTGAGGTATTTCATCAGTGTGAAATACACACTGAATTTCAAAGACTTTGTACCAAAGGAAGAATGTAAACTATCTCAAAATTTAAAATTTTAAATAAACTTAATCAAATTATATTTCATTTGATCTATTTCCCTTTTTTATTTTAAATGTGGCTGCTAGAAATTTTTAACTGTTATTTATGGCTTACATACTTTGGTTGGAGAGTGCTGGTTTAAATTACCTGTTTGTATACTTACATTTTAAAAATACTGTAGCATCATCTTCTCAACAGAAAACCCTGTTGAATGACTTTCAACAATAACTGATCTTTTCTTCAGTATCACTTTTTTGATTCTCTTTGCTGCTTCTAATACATGGGTACTTTAACTCTCCTTTTGATATCAGTAAGTCTTCTAGGACTTTAAATAGGTCTCAGTGAAAGCGATACTTAAGCCTCATTCATATATTCAGGTTGTATCATTATTCCTAATAATTGCTTTAAGTACTTAGATAGATCAGATCAAAACTTATATCTTAATTGCTTGTCATTTCTTTATAAAGGTGTTTTAAGAAACTGCTCCATGTGATCCCCTTTCATTATTTTCTTGCAAAAAGTAACACAATACTTTATTAGTTTGTTGGAAGTGAGAGAAGAAAACAAAAACAAAATATATTTTCAGGTACTGCAAATAAACAGGATTAGTCATGAATGAGTCCTGTAAACATCAGTTTTTAAAATAAATCTTGAATGCACTGTTAGTCTACCAGTGGCTTTAACGTCAGTTTTATTTTCCTGTTACACAGTGCTTGGGTCCAGGTTGTCATCAGCTACCATGAGGAAACCTATGCATTTCCTAGAGAGAGAAAACTTGTACTGTTAGACTTAATAGTATGGTAGTCATGGAAGCATCAGTTATCTTCATCAAGGCAATTCAGATTTGATTATTATAGAACTGTGTTGAATACCAAACCAGTGTAGTAGTAGCTGGAGCTAAATCAAGGGATTGTCATTTTTGTCAGATGATTAGAGCTGGCTTGGAAGAGATATGAAAGGGTTGAACTGTGTAAATATTCTCTTTTCAGCAGAAAAAGAAAAGGTCCATCATGGCCATTAAGATGCAGCTTGTTAGCTTGATGAATTTCAAACTATTTAACCTTAGCAATTATATTCTCTTCTCTCCCCCATGCCTCCATGCAAGCCTATCAATGCTTTAGGATTATATCTGCAAAGATTGATATCTAAACATATCAGTAATTTTCCATTAAGATGAAATATAGCCTGTGTGTGTGTAGATACATCTTTGAAAGTGTATGCTGTGATACAAAGACCTAATTATTACTTGAATTATATGTTTAGGTAAGCATTAGAGTATATTCTAAGTTTTTAAAACTTTTTAGTGGAAAGTGCATATAATTTAACATTTTAGAGATGATGGTATTCATTTGTTATGCTGTAAATATATTAAAAATAATTTTTTACCTACCTGTGATGGTCTTGATACATTTAATAATTAATACAGTTAAATATAACAACAATTTTAAGTGGGCATGCTCAGTCTAATGATGTGAGGACATTTCTACCATATTATAATAATATTAAATGCCAGAAAGGCCAGTGTTATTGCTGCTTTTATAAAAATGTCTATTGGTCAGTTTATTGTATATCCTGCTGTTATTCATACTACCTGGTGTGTTTTGGTCACTTATTAAACTCATAAGTAAAAATAGGTGATATCAAAATTGCTAACTTCAAAGAATTGCTGAATTTCGAAATAGCATTCATTTAAGGAGTAGGAAGACTTAGCATGCCATCTAGTGGTCATATTTAGCATTATTATCATCAAAAACTAGTTGGTGATGTATTTAGTCTTACTCCAAAATGTAGTTGGTGAACACTTCGTGTCTCTTACCCTTTAACATTATTTATGGTTGTGGTACACCACACATAATTTTTCAGCTATGTTTTATTATATCTCATGTTTTAGAAAGTCATAAAGTGATTGAAATCATCAAAAATAAATGATAGGGATAAATCTATTTCAAATACAAAGCAGGTTAAAATGAAATATATTAAAATAATTCAGTTTTCCTTAGGATGACAATCAGTTAAGGAAGGACTTAAACAATTAAGTAAAACCGAATTCTTAGATTTCATTATGTATATTACTTTCTAAAGAAAAAAGGATTTCTTTCTTTTGTATGTTAATAATTTAGATGATTTTACCCATTTCAGTTTATTGCTTTTTTTTTTTTTTTTAGAGAAATCCAAGACCAGTGACTTACCAATTTCATCCCAATTTAGATTATTACAAAGCACGAGGAGCAGACCTTATGAATAAAAGCCGGTGAGTCCCTTCTCAGATGGTAGTTTTCAGTTACAAACATAGGCTCAGAGGGCATCAGAAAATTTTACACATTTGCTGAAATTTCCATATTTAAGCATATCAAAGGCTAATGTGCATAATGAATCTTGGTTGAATTATCTAAGTTTTTTTAAGGCATAAGAAAATGGTATATTTTAATGTCAGTGATAACATGAAAAATTAAATAAATGTAAAAGTGCTTTTTCCAGTTTGAAGTTAGACAACTTCATTTCTCTAACAATAATAAACCTGAATAAATTGTACCTACTTGGTATAATCTCTTTCTAGATCCTTGCTGTTGATTGAAAAGAGGCAGTTTTATAATATATTTTAAATTATTTCAGTAACAAAATTAAAACTGGGTTTCCCAACTGTCTTTAGAGCTACACAATAAGCTTATAAATGCATCTTTTGTGTGCATTTGTGATTGCATACACAAAAATTTTAAGGGTTACTGTAGGAATAAAAACATTAAAATCCTACTTTTTAAAGAAATTAACATTGGCATAAAGGGTTGATGAACAGTTTTGTTCTTTCATAATACATACTCAGATGTCTCAAGAGTTAACTTGTCAAATCAGAACCATTTCAAATTATAATATAATTTCAAAGTTTACTCTGAAAGACTAAAAAATGTTAGAAATGATAAATGCTACCAACTTGTCCAAATTTTCTTCCTTAAACATTTTGCCTATGTGCTAGCTTTCTTTCAGCAGAATTCCAGCATCCTAAATATGCATTCATGCAGTGCATATGCATATTGTGTTTTGTTGCTACTGAGGAACTAAAATGCCTGCCACAAAGGAACTTACAGTCCAAGGCAATTCTGGCAAACCTCCAGCACATGTGTTACTTGTTTTTGTTTTGAGATAAAAGATGTTAATACTGTTTTTTCTCAACTCAAAACTCAGTACTCAGATTTAGTTGCACTTGACACTGCTATAACAAAGTGAGTTTTGGGTCCTCATCTCTACAAGTTTCATTATCACTGGTCTAAGGGGTAAGAAGTTTATAACAAAGTAGCCAAGTTTTAAAATTAAAATTTGAATCCTCCTACAATAGTAAAAAGAATAGAATGTCATAAAATTGTTTAGCTTTAACCAAAATGTTTGTCCCTTTTGGGAGTGAGGCAGGGTATTGGGGATCAATTGTCTGATGTTTTGATGCATTCTAACTTTGAGACAAATTCTATAGCCCATGAGATTTTTCTGAAATTCTTTTCTGTATTTTCATTTTATCTGAGTCTCATTTCCAAATAAAAAGCTATTCCATGTAGTAACTTGTTCATTCAGTTCAACAAAATTTTATTGAGTAGCAGACTCTTGATTGTTTTAGCCACTACAATACAGATTCTGAGTGAACAAGTCATACACAAATTCCCACCCTCAAGAATTTTACAGTTGGTTCACTTACATTTGCTCTATTGTGTCAAGTGTTTAATTCTGGTATGTTTAAAAAGAACAAAATATTTTAGGTTCTTTTTTATACAGGTTCCTTCTAACTAGAGTCCCTTCTTTCCCTCCAACCCCTACAAGATCCATTTTCACAATACACACGATTCTGTCTGAGTGGCCATTCTGTGTCACACTATGCTCTCTCTGACTACTTATATCACTTCCTCTTAGGTGTTGAAAATCCTCAGGCTTCTTTTCTTCTCTTAGGGTACTCATTCCCTCGAGAATCTTAATCCATCTTGTGATTTTATACCCTATGTGACTGAAATGTCCATATTTATGTCTCCAATTGTACCCCTTGAACTCATATGTCACTCTACTTACTTTTTCCTCTTAGATGTCTTATATGCATCTCAAATCTAATACTTTCCAGGCTGATTTTTTATTTTAATCTCCAATGCACATGATCATATTATCTCCACCATAGTAAATAGCCCTATCCAATTGCCTTAAAAATAGTCCTTAATTCCTTTTTTCTCTTAATGATACAAGCTCGGCAGCATATCCTTTTCAGAATATCCTGAAACAAATTACTTTCCTTTCTTTGTACTGCTAATACCAGTTTACTGTTATCATTTCACTACTAGTCTCTTTACTAATCTCCTGTTTCCTCAACCAATAGCCAGATTAATATAAATCAGATTCCATCACTGCACTGCTCAGGGCCCTACAGTGACTTACCAAAACATTTAGGTCAAAACTCAAAACCTTTTTAGTGGTCTGTATGATCTAGCCTCCTGCTCTCTCCAACTTGATTTGTCACCATCACTCTGCATTTGTTCACTGAGCCAACTCCGGATAGCCTGCTTCATTTTCCTCAAAGAAATATGCTCACTTACCCTTTCCAGAACTTTGTATTTGCCTTTTTTATGTTCGGAATGTTTTTCCTTGTGAATCAATGAGACACACTCACTATTTAGTCTGTTCAAATACCATCTCTTCAGAGAGGCTCACTCTGACTCCTATGTCAATATTAATGGTCTCCTTTACCTCTGTCCCTTTACTTTGTTACCATTTGCCTTTGTGTTTTTTTCACAGCAACAATCACTGCCAAAATGCTTTTTAAGATTTTTATTTATTGTATGTATTTTGTTCATTTCTTGCACTAAAACAAACTCCACATTTGGCTTGTTTTCAGCAATACCTAAAATTGTGCCTAAAATGTAGTAGGCACAGAGTAAAAGAATTGTACCCAGCAAATAAATGGTAGGTATTTCAAACATATAATTAGTCAAATGAATGTAAGTTAAAGCTTCAATAGAGTAGCATTTTTACCTTTTATACTTACAAACCACAAACCATTGAACCAAGCATTGATGAAGGTGCTTAGGTTCCCTTAGCTACAGATTGAGAGAGTATAGATGAAGACAGCTTTGATAATCTTGTCAAATACTTTGTCTATCTTTCTGTATAGACCTTATTAATCATCATATTAATTCGTGGTCCATCGTAGTTCACTCTTATCTGTGATCAAAAGCCATTTTAGCTCTGAAGCCATTAGTAAAATCTCTATTTAGCTATTTAAGACCTGAAAGTTTTTACCAGGCTGAGCCCTTAAGTCATATTTTTTCTTGCCGCTACTTTTAAGAGTTAGTTCATTGGCACTGTCACTGAGGAGCAAGAGAGTAAGTAGGGATGATCCAGAGGACTACATATAACTTGTGGAAAAAACCATAGAAATGATGAGGAAATGGCAACTGGACAAGAGACAGGCAGATACCTGGGAATTAAGGTCCCAATGCATTTTACATAGATGGCAATGGACTTCTGTTTGTTTCATATTCAAATAAGGAGCAAAGATGCAAATAAGACTTGTGATTTCATGGATAAGAATATCTCTAAAAATCAAGAAGCTTGATTTTTCTTCTCTGCTTTAACATGAGTTGCTATAATTAAGCCTTTAAAAGCAAATGCCTATGTATTTCAGTAGTAGATTTCCCATTACAAGTATGAATAATACCTACTATGCTGTGATTTCATTGATTTTCACGTGGCTTTTTAAGGAATTGACATTTTCTTATTCATGCAACTTTTGAGCTCAGAATGACAATTTAGCACTCAAATGTTCCAATTTTGTCCTTAAATAACCAGAAGTTGCTGCTATAAAAAGTATTTTTATTTAAATTATTATGACCAGTCTTCAGAAAGACCCATCTAATTTATTTAAGAATCTGTAACTACTGAAATGTCCAGTGCCCATCATGAGTAGTCACAGATCAGAATTTAATATTTTTTAAAGGCTGCAATATCCTGTGTTAGTAGAATCACATATCTTCTCTGTGCTAGCCTACTCAGGTTTCCTCTGTCCCCTCTCAGAGTTCAGTTTAAATAATAAATGATTCTATTGATGAAAGATCCCAGAATTATATCAACAGGTAGATCCTTTGCAAAGATCCCTTGTCAGGATGGTTGCATGGGACCTGAGAGGAAGCCAGAATCCAAGGAAGGGATGTCTCGCTTTCCTCAGACTCCATGTGAGGGCATCTATTTGTACCCCAGGAATACTTAGACACTAAAAATTCCCCATTTCTCTGAGGGATCCAGATATGACTCTACTCTGGGCCTGACGTAATCAGAATGTTCTGAAAATGTGCGAGTTCACAGGCAGCATGAAGACTCTAACAATTATAATTTAATAAAAACCCCTATGAGAGCAACAATCATGTCTTTTCACTGCTGTTTCTTAATATCTGGTAGAGAGAAGATACTCAAAATTTGTAAAATGAATGAATGCTCTTCAGCTTCAATTATAGAGTAATACATAGGTCTGAGAGTGACATCTTGCGTAAGTCTGATGTCCTTCATGTCAGTCAAGGTTAAACTCTTTATATTCTCAGATCCTAATTCAGTACTTGACACTATTTATTGTAGTTGATAAATATTTAGTTTAATTACTCAATAAGTACTGTTTGAAACCTAAGAGGCATATAAAGTTCTTCAGGAGAATTTCCATTTTATGTGACCATTAAGATTTTTAAAATTAGACTTATTGTCCATATTTATGTAACTGACTTCATTTTTCAGAGATACAGTAGTTTATTGTTGAATTATTATAAAGAAGTAATAAGCTAATAATGTTCCTTAAATCATAAAGTTTAGGATTCCTTGCTTATTAGTAGTCAGTTGACTAAAATAATCTCAAGGGACATTGATAGCCACGTAAATGTAATTTCATGATATTTTAATATTAAGTTATTTAAGCATTTGTATTATAAGCATATAGGTTTCTGAAGTATGTCTGTTGTATTAAAGAGAATTGTTAATTCATAACTAATTTAAGTAAAATAGTAACACTACCTCCTATTTAGCCCAGGGTAAATAAATCTTTTATCTTTAAAAAAAAAAAACAGGTTAAATTTACATAAACATACAGATCTTAAGGATTCAATCTTAATCATTTTAATAGTCAGGTATATCTTCTAACACCATCTACAATACTATGTCTGAAATGAACATTGATTTTATCCCAGGGTTCCCTCATATCCCTTTGCACTGGATTCAGCCCCACGCTTGAGGGGGCTGCTTTAT